CTCCTCGCTTCCTTCTCCCCTTCTTGTGTAATGTGTAGGCACGGGACCACTGGCGCGACAAATCACAAAATAACCCTGGCGGGGTGGCGGCGTGTGCCGTACTGAATTTCTTTCTTTCATTGTTTCAAAACTCTCTCGGACGCACGACACCGGACCACAAAAGAATTCCGGGTGCTGCTACTATACACAAAAACGCACAAATGGTGGCGCACATGACTGGCGCGCACTGGCACGAACACAGGTACACGACGGGAGCCGCCTGTGCAACAAAAGAAATCAAGTACGCGGCACAGTGCACAGTTTAGACGGCATCGCCTCCACGCCGGGGTGACAAGCTTGGCACTCAACGCCGGCGCGCCCACGGTGGCAAACGACCAGCGTAGAGGCCGGCACCCACCCGGAAGGCACAACAAAAACGCAAGCGCGTGCGACTAGAGGCCGGCGCTGCTTCCTAGGGCCGATGAGCGATGACGCCTGGTGGCGGAGCCGCCTCGGCAGCTACACCCACACGCGCCCGAGTGCTCAATCGCAATCGGACCCACCCGCATCGTCGGCCGTGTCGAGGCCGCTGTGTGTGCGCCGCGCGCGCCAGCGGGCAGAGGGTGTGCACTGACGCGCTCACCCCGTGGAGTCCTCCTCCTCCGCGCAGTCCGCGCCCGGGTGCGGCCCTCTGCGGGCGCGCAGCACCTGTCTCTCTCTCTCCACCAGGTACTCGCGGTGCCAGTCCAGGAGTTTGCGCGGCTCGTAGGCGCGCAAGACGCGGCGGTAGCACACAAACAGGAGGACGCCGAAGCTCACCATGACCGTCGAGTTCATGATCGCTAGGCCCATGCCAAACTGGTCTGCAGCGGCCAGCTTGTCCGCATCCTCGACATCGATGCAGGCCTAAGGTAAGGTGAGATCCGGTGAACTTCTTCACGCACACGAGGTGGTCGGGCAAGGGCCAGGCGACCCTCGCAACTCCACGTCTAACGACAGGAGCCCCACACGGCACTAAAAGTGCAAGGCCCGGTGCGCGTGGGTGAGCGGTGCGATGTGTGTGTGTGTGTGTGTGTGTGTGTGTGTGTGTGTGCGTGCGTGCGTGTGTGTGTGTGTGTGTGTGTGTGTGTGTGTGTGTGTGTGTGTGTGTGTGTGTGTGTGTGTGTGTGTGTGTGTGTGTGTGTGTGTGTGTGTGATGCACGCCTCGAATTTCTCGGCGTGGGTCCTGACAAACTTGGGCAGCCCGACAAAGAGGATGACGAGCAGCATCGCCGAGCAGTAGAAAGAGCAGGTTGCGGCGGAGAAGCAGTTGTTCATGTGGCGGACGTGCCCACGCGAGCGCGCGACCGCCGCCTGCGTAGACACGAGCAGCGCCGCCTCCTGGGCCAGCTGCTTGACCTGGGATGTCAGCACCACCACGGCGAGGGCGAGGCTCATCGTCACGCTGACCGAGAGGAAGAACAGGGTGGCGAAGAGCCGGTGACCCACGGACTTGTAGATGCACACCTCGCTCTCCTCCTCCACAAGAGGCACGAGCGTCTCGCCGCCCCACATGGCGAGAGCAAACCCGATCACAATCGTCGCCTGCATGGTGAGGTTGTCCATGCGAGTGTACAAGACCTGCCGACGGGTGCGAGTCTCAGATACGGAACCGTCGCCACTGCGTGTGAGTTTGAGCATCTAACTTTCGTGCGTCTAGCTGCTGCATGTCGAGATGCATCACGTTCAGCGCGTTCTCCTGGTGGATTTTGGCGGCATTGACGTGCGCCAACATGGTGTACCCGGGGTGCCGACTCCAGCGCTTGGAGACCCAGATCCCTGTTTCGCCGACTTGATAGCGCCGACTTTCACAAGTTGTTTCTCTTTTTTGGACAGCTGTTTGCTTTTGCTTTTTCTTTTTTTGAGAAGCTTTCACTGAACAAGCTGCGAAGGGACACACACATGAACACACCGCACCGCATACTTGGCCTTCAGACGCGGTGATATGGCCTCAGTGACAGGTGCAAAACCAGTCGGCCTCAGTGAGAGGGGGGAACCATCGGAGAGGCGGGCTACAGCAACGCAACGCCGGGCCGGCTGCGCACCGACGCCATCGCCGCCACTGGCTCCCACACGTTCGTCGCCGGGTCGTACCTCTCCACCGAGCTGAGTGGGATGGACTCGCTGTCCTCACCGCCCACAGCGTACAGCTTGCCGTCGAGCACAGCCAGAGCGTGAGTATCCCGCCCCTCCGCCATCGGCGCCACCTCCTCCCACGCATTCACCGCCGGGTCGTACCGTTCCACCGAGCTGAGGGTTTGGTCGCCTTCGTTGTACCCGCCAACAGCGTACAGCTTGCCGTCGAGCACCGCCACATCAACGAGCCTCCGAGGCACCGCCATCGGCGCCACCGCCTCCCACGCATCCACCGCCGGATCGAACCGTTCCACCGAGTTGAGGTCACCGCCTACGTTGAGGTCACCGTTGAAGCCGCCCACAGCGTACAGCTTGCCGTCGAGCACAGCCACGCCGACCAAATCACGCGCCAACGCCATCCGCGCCACTGCCTCCCACGCATCTAGCGCCGGGTCGTACCGCTCGACCGAGCTGAGCCAGCCGCCGACGACCTCGCTACGCCCGCCCACAGCATACAGCTTGCCGTCGAGCACCGCCGCGGCGTGACCAGTCCGAGCCGTCCCCATCGGCGCCACCGCCTCCCACGCATTCACCACCGGATCGTACCGCTCGACCGAGCTGAGCCCGCCGCCGCCGCCGCCGCCGCTACTCCCGCCCGCCGCGTAGAGCTTGCCATCGAGCACCGCCATGCGCACCTCCCTGCGCCCCGTTGGCATTGGAGCCACAGCCTCCTCCTCCCACTCATTCGTTGACGGGTCGTACCGCTCCAGCGAATTGACAACAATTGTGGTGTAGTCGTTGTCTTGGCCGCCGATCACGACCAAGCGCGGCCGCTCACGCTTCGTCAGCGTCTCCTTCCAGCCGCGGCGCCACGCGCGGCACGTCCCCTTGACGGCGTGCTCCTTGGTCGGCAGCTGGGCGAGGATGTGCGGGGCGAGGTCCGGCGAGAGGAGGACCTCGGAGAGGATCCACTCGGGCTGCTCCACGAGCCGTGCGACGTGCTCCTCCGCCACGCGCACCGCGGCGTCGCTCCAGAGAGGCGCCTGCTCGTCGATGAATTCGAGCAGCTGCTCTTGCGAAGCGCCCGAGAGGCGGGCGCTCATGCGGTGGGCGGCCATATACGCACCCACGTGTCTCCCAACGAGGGCGCGAGATAGGATTTTCGCGTCAGTGGCGGCCAACACAGAAACAGCGTGCTACTGTGTTGAGTGCTGGAGGCGCCCCTGATGCCACTGGACTCAATCCGAGCCGGCGGCGCCTTCGTCCGGGCCCATGACCGGCACGCCATCTCGATTTCCACTCGCCCGACGCGCTCAGTCTCCGCTGCCGGCTGCCGCAAGAGCGGCTGGCTATCGACAGCGTCTTGCCGGTTGTCGGATGGGAGAGTACAGAACGTCTTGAGTGTAACTGTGTACGTGAGATCGGTCTTGGTAACAAGCACAGTCGGTCTATCAGAAGCGATGCACTCGTTTCCGTTGCCCTCGGAGCTTGACACGAAGCTCAGCGCACCCCGCAAAACAGGAAGAGCCGTCCGGCAAGAAGAGCTCGACAGGGAGCGAGAACCGTTAGAGGTGCTCCGAGAGGTATCAGGACTCCGTCATAACACGGTAAGATCGCCCCAACAATGACCGCGCAGACGTCGGATCTCGTTGAGATATCTTCCAAAATATGCTCTTCCCGAGCCGGCAGCATGCAGAGAGGCGCAGAAAGGCTACGAGTGCTCGACGAGTTTTGAGACCTGCGCGGTCAAACCTGGGGGGAACTGACCGCACCATGACGGACGTCCGAAACCTGCGTGAGCACCTTTGACGGTTCTCGCTCCCCATCGAGCTCTTCTTGCCGCACGGCTCTTCCTGTGTGCCGGCACAGAGCTCCGTGCAAGCCGTCCAGCGTGACGAGTATATCGCTTCGACGGATCGACCGTGCTTGTTATCAAGACTGATATGACGTACACAGTGACACATCAGACGACACATATTCTCTCCCCCGGCGGGCCGCCAAAACGCTCTCGACGAGAGCCACAAGAAGCCGTCCGCACAGCAAGCCGGTGGAGGCCGAGCGCGCGGAATCGATGATGGCGTGCCGGCCGTGGGCCCGGACGAAGGTCCTGGCTCGAAAACGCGAGCAGAGGCCGCCGTGTGGGGCCACGGCGAGCCTCGGAGAGAAAGGTCAGCACCCTATCTCACGCGGTCGGTTGGGTAGACGAGTATATCTCAAAGCGCGGCGACCCAGACGGCCGATCTTTTCTTCTTTGGGCGCCAGGTTTAATTCTTTTTTCACTGCCTGGCCAGGGCGCCCCCACCTCCCGCGTGTGCTGCAGCTGCCTCCACACGGCCCGACGTCGCTCGTGCGCAATGGCCGCCAGCTCGAGCGCAGGGCCAATCAGCGCTGACTTTGAGAACGAGATGGACGAGGAGGAGCTGGCGGCGCTGCGGCAGCGCGAGCACCGCCGCAAGGCGGAGCCGATGTCGCTGCAGGAGAAGCTGGCGCAGCAGCAGCAGGAGCGCGAGCGGGACAAGCCCGTCTTCATGAACAAGAAGGAGCGGGACGAGTCGCGGGCGGCGGTCGAGGCGGAGGAGAAGGAGCTGCAGTCACTCATGGACGAGGCGGAGCGCGAGCAGCGGCAGGCGTACATGCAGAAGGTGCGGGACGCGCTCCGGGAGCAGCGCGAGCAGGAGCGGATGTCGCGGACGGCGCAGGCGACGCGCGCGGTGGAGAAGAAGGAGGAGGCCAAGACCAAGGAGGAGATCGCGCGCGAGAAGGAGCTGCAGCAGATCAAGAATGCCTACCTCGGCGTCAAAA